TACTGGCAGCAGAAGCTCTGGAAAAAGCTCGGGCTCAAAAAGATCTTGAAGCCCGAGAAGCAGCTAAAGCTCAAGAACAAGATGAAGCTCACGCGTGTGAAGAAGCTGAAGCTGAAGCTGAAGCTCGAGCTCGACTTGAAGCCCAAGCGCAAGAAGAGGTTAAAGCAAAAACTGCCAAAGAAGCTCGAGCTCAATTCGAGGCGGAAGCTCACGCTCGTGAAGAAGCCGAGGCTAACGCTCAAAAAGCTCAACTTGAAGCCCAAGCCCAAGAAAAAGCTCAAGCTGAGGCTGAAGCTGTCGAAAAAGCTCATGCTCTGGCTAAGGAAGCTCAAGCTCATAAATCAGATGAAGCCGAGGTGGTATCCCAGGATCAAGAAGGAGCTGAAGCTCACGAAATTCCGGGGTCTAGTGGGGGGCTAGGGGGTGACCGAGATACCGTATCCACCGGGGCCGAGGGTCCCGTAGAGGCGGCCGATGAGCGGCTGTGGTGGAATGTGGACAAGAGGCGGGTCTGCAAAATAGGGTCCGAGCGTCTGTCGGTCTGTCTGTCGAGCTTCTTTAAAGGGATGGTGCCAGCAAGGAAATCGGCGAAAAATTATTTCCCAGCTATGTAAAGGTTAAGGAAAATGAGAGAGGAATAGATTCGAAAAGTCGAAAATTACCTATATAAATCCGATTCAGCGTTCAACCGGTCGTCCGACGGTGAGTAGAGTGAATTTTTTGTTGAATTACTCAGTTTTTCGTAGGCCACAAACTACAAAAATTACCTTAAAAAATTTATTTGAAAGTTGAGATTACCTTTTGCGTTAATCTATATGTTTGTCCGGTCCATGTTATATGTTTGCGTGTCTGTCCATTGGCAAGTAATCTTTGGAAAATGGCTCTTTTTAGGGTATCGTTCGCTGATGACGTCACGGAAAAGACGATGGAGGCCATCGACCACTCGCTGGAGATGAAGATGGGCATTGAGGTGGGAGAGAGAGAGAGAAAGAGAGAGTGAGAACGAGAGAGAGAGAGAGAGAGAGAGAGAGAGAGAAAGAGAGGGAGAGAGACAGCATCAACTCTCTTTTTTTCAGGTAGAACCCAAGTTCGAGAAGCCGTCCATCATCAAGAAGCCGCTGAAGAAAGAGCACGCCCAGCAGCGCGAGATTCGACGCAACGAGGCCCCGTCATTGTAGGTTTATCATCATTTTTTCCTGTGGATTTTACCCTACCGATCCCTTTAAAGGAACGGAAAAAGAACACGAAAATGAAAACGGAAAATCCATAGTTCTGCCTCGTTTGCCCCTTTAAAACTCATGAAATTACTGTATTTTCAGTGCCCCGGTTCGACGGAATAGTCTGCTTCAAGCTCTCGCAGTCGGCTCCCCACACAATATCCCGCATTTCAAGACGCTCGAGGATATTATTCGGGGAATTCAGAAGGTAGGCTGTCTCAGTCGCTCTCTCTCACTCCCTCTCTCACTAGCTCTCTCTCTCTATCTCGCTCTCTCTCTCTCTCTGGCCCTCTCCACGGTCGCCATCCCTTCAAAAACCCAAATTTTCAGGCCGGCCTGGAATATTCGAACCTGATTTTTGGCATTGACTACACCAAGTCGAACTACTATCAGGTGGGTTTGATTTGAATCGATTACGATAGCAAATGATATCAGGGAACTTTTTCAAGGTGTTTTTCATTGGGTTGAATCGCTTACGGCATCAAATCCTTTTCAGGGCGAGCGCACCTTTGACGGCAAAAACCTGCACAACCTGGACGAACACGAAATGAACCCCTATCAACAAGTAAGGGCATTTGGAGCAGGGTTTAAAGGGGGTGGGACAGGAGGATTTTTCGTTCCAAAATGGCTATTTTTGGTACTGGTCTGTTAGCGGGGGAGAGGGAACACTAATTTTTTGTTTTCCGGCGATCTGTTATACGTTTTATAGTCTATGCCTAAGGCCGTAAAGGATTACCGGAAAAGTTCGTACCCCCCGCTAACACTAGTACCGCTAATTTTTTTTTAGGTAATAGAGATCGTCGGACGGACATTATCTTCATTTGACGCCGACGGCCAGATTCCGGCCTACGGTTTTGGAGATGAGGAGTTTACGGATAAGGTGAGAGAGAGAGAGAGTAAGATACCCTAATCCTCGTTTTCAGGGCATCTTCAACCTGCGCGACCGCTACAACCTCGACGTGGACTGCGACGGCTTCTCGGAGGTGCTTCAGGTGTATAACCAGATCACCCCGTCGGCCAAGATGTGTGGACCCACCAACTTTGTACCGCTCATCGAAAAGGTTGGTTGGAGAGAAAGCGAGTGATAGAGAGAGTGAGAGAGAGAGCGAGAGAGACAAAAAGTTCACAATGTCGTTTTTAGGCGATCCAAATCGTTCGCGAGAAGCACTCCTACCACATCTTGGTCATCGTCGCGGATGGACAGGTGAGCTTCTATGCTTGGCTTAGGCTCATGCTTACAACTTAGCTTAGCTTAGGAATAGCTGAGGTTTGGCTCAGGCTTGGGCTTGGCTTACTTTAGTCCTAGGCTTTGGCTTATCCTTAAGGCTGTTCGCTCTAATCACTATTTTTCTAGGTGACAAACGAGAAGATCAACCAGAAGGCCATCGCCGCCGCCAGCCACTACCCGCTTTCCATTATTATGTGAGTCTTGATATCGCTCTCTCTCTCTCTCTCGCTCTCGCTCTCTATCTCGCTCTCTCTCTCTCTCTCTCTCTCTCTCTCTCTCTCTCTTCAAGTACTCTCTTCAGGGTTGGCGTTGGTGATGGTCCGTGGAACATGATGACGCGCTTCGATGAGACCCTGCCGAAGCGCCTATTCGACAACTTCCACTTTGTCGACTTCCACAAGGTAAGGCAGGCTAGCAGAGATTCTTTGAGGAATTGGAGGGGATGGAGGGGGGCAGGCTAGCAGAGATTCTTTGAGGAATTGGAGGGGATGGAGGGGGCAGGCTAGCAGAGATTCTTTGAGGAATTGGAGGGGATGGAGGGGGCAGGCTAGCAGAGATTCTTTGAGGGATTGGAGGGGATGGAGGGGGGCAGGCTAGCAGAGATTCTTTGAGGAATTGGAGGGGATGGAGGGGGTAGGCTAGCAAAGATTCTTTAGGATCTAAAAAGCCCACTTTCCAGGTGATGTTCAACGCCCCGAACGCGGAGGCGTCGTTTGCCCTCAACGCGTTGATGGAGATCCCCGATCAGTACAAGGCGATCAAGGAGTTGGGGCTGCTCAAGCATTCGCGCCGCGGTTGAGCTCAAGCTCCTCTGAGTCTTTTTGGCAGTGTTCCAAAATGACTAAATTGCTAAATTTATTTTTACAGTTTTTAAAAGCAAAAAAAATTACACTAAACTACTTTTACCGAGATCCAAATTTCAATTTTCAACAAGTTTTGCCCATTTTTATAGCTTCTAAAATAGGCCAAAAATCACCGTAACCCCTTCCGCTGTTTGCTAACCGTTTTCGCGTCTCTTTCTGTCAAAAATGCATGATTTCGCGAGCTACCTTAACTATCTCTGGATTTTTCGATAATAAAAACGTACTTAAAAATTTAGAAAAGCTAAAAAGTACGTCATTAAGTTTTTAATAACAATAAAAGAAAAGAACACAATAAAATAAATAATAAAGGTAATAAAACGTTAAATAAATTTTTAATTCATCGGGAACATTGCCAAAATGTCGCTCTCTCTATAGCTCTCGCACTCTCTCTCGCACTCTCTCTCGCTCTCTTTCTCTCGCCCGTCCGTCCCCGTGATCTCTATGCACTTGACAATATATTTCTCCACAGACCTTTCCTTTCCCACCACCTACAGTTCGACCTACAGTACCCCCTACAGTACGTTAGACAACCAATTGACGACCGCCCTCTTTGCGACCCTTTCTGGTGATTTTGCGAATTTTTGATTTTTGTGTTTTGGTTTTTATTCGATTTTTATCGTTAAAATCTTGTCCCGGCCCTATCAAATGCCATGCGCTTCAGTTTATGCTAATTTCTATTGGAAAAATTTATCTTTTTTTTTTGCTCTACATTTTGCGCTTGTGATATTGTAAGGGAGGGCATACCTACGAATTTGCATAAAGAATTTTTTAAAAGTATATGTTATGCACAAAAATACAAGAAATTACGCCAGCAATTCAGAGAAAATACAGTAGGATACGGTAGAAAAGGCGACGGTTTACTTTACCCCCCCCCCAGCCGGAAGTTTTTGGCTATAACTTTTTTATTTTACATTATTGTAGGCTCAAATTAAAACTCTTAGTATATTTTTCGACGCTCTATCGAATGGCGTTGCAAAAATCCCGACAAAACAAAGAAAATACCGACAACTTTGAGACCCTTCCGGTGTGGGGGGCAGTAAAGTAAACTCTTACCGTAGAAAAGTTGGGTTCTAGTGCGGTAGCGGGGGGAGGGTGCAGTGGGTGTAAAGAGAGTAGGGAAGGTTTATTTTTCCGCGTCTAACTATCTATCAAAGTTAAGGATTTTTACAGTATTTTCAAAATAGATCTTTCCTTTTTTTGCTTACCAGGAATTCCTTAAAAATAAACATTTTCAAAAATTTGATACATTCAAAAGCTTTAAGGAATTTTTTGCAAATTTTTGTTTTTTTTTTTGTTTTGAGTGCCCCCCCCCGGTAACGCACCAGAACCAATGATGAAAAAACAAAATTTTTTGTATGCCGTATTCTTGCTTTGGTAGAATCATGTTTACAGGACATTTTTATTCGCAAAAATGCATAGAAAATACAGGGGATTACGGTAGCGGATTGGAGAAGTTTTATTATTAGCAGAGATCACAGGGGAGAGCGTTCAATGTATTTTTGGGCTGCGGAGTTGGATCCGAATTTTTTGAGATTTCTTGGGTTAAAGCTCGTTGTTTTTGGGGAGACTAACAATATTGGAAAGTGAAAAATGACAAAAAATATTTTTGAAAATGGAGAAAAAAGCAATGCAAAACAATAAATAAAACGCAAGCAATTTCCTACAAAATTCTAACAAAAAAGGCATTTTCTACTTCACAATCAATTTTCCGGTGTTGAGGACCTCGATCTCGCGAGTGATGTTGTCACGCGCTTTCTCTTCGCAGGTATCGCGCATTGGCTGGGTCATGTAGATGTACGGTAGTCGCATGAACATCGTTAGCAGCTGAAACAGGACTATGGAGGCAAACTAGCAAAGATTCTTTGAGGAATTGGAGGGGATGGAGGGGGCAGGCTAGCAGAGATTCTTTGAGGAATTGGAGGGGATGGATGGGCAGGCTAGCAGACATTCTTTGAGGAATCGGAGGAGATGGAGGCGGCAGGCTAGCAGAGATTCTTTGAGGAATCGGAGGAGATGGAGGCGGCAGGCTAGCAGAGATTCTTTGTGGAATTGGAGGGGATGGAGGGGGCAGGCTAGCAGAGGTTCTTTGAGGAGCCCACCTTCTTTCTGAGCGCCAAGAATTCCTCATCATCAAACATCATCGATTCGGCCCGGATCCCGGCCACATATCTGTCATAATCTTCGGGGGCTGAGGCTAGATACGCCGAGTCAAAGTCGATCAAGTAGTGCACGTCGTCGCCGCCTGGAAAAAGACATGAGAATTAGGGTTCCTAAGAGATATCTACTAGCCCGTCCTCCTTGAACTTGTGGCCTACCTGGAGTGGAAAGGTCGGTGGTCCCATCTCCAGATGAGGAAGCCGAAGATGTGATAATGTCGACAACATATCCCTGTTGATCGAACGTCGTCGAGTTGCCGAATTCTTTGACCATCTCCACGCTCTCCTTCCAGCATTGTTCATTTCGGGGGTCGTAGGCGACACTGAACAATCATCTTTGAGCCTTTGTTCCTCAAAGAATCTCTGCTAGCCTGCCCCTCCATCCCTACCAATTACTCAAATAATCTCTGCTAGTCTGCCCCCTCCATCCCCTCCAATTCCTCAAAGAATCTCTGCTAGCCTGCCCCTCCATCCCCTCCAATTCCTCAAAGAATCTCTGCTAGCCTGCCCCTCCATCCCCTCCAATTCCTCAAAGAATCTCTGCTGGCCTGCCCCCTCCATCCCCTCCAATTCCTCAAAGAATCTCTGCTAGCCTGCCCCCTCCATCCCCTCCAATTCCTCAAAGAATCTCTGCTAGCCTGCCCCCTCCATCCCCTCCAATTCCTCAAAGAATCTCTGCTAGCCTACCCCTCCATCCCCTCCAATTCCTCAAAGAATCTCTGCTGGCCTGCCCCCTCCATCCCCTCCAATTCCTCAAAGAATCTCTGCTAGCCTGCCCCCTCCATCCCCTACAATTTCTAAAGAATCTTTGCAAAGTACCCTGGCCCTAACACTCACTTCATGAAAAAGACGGCAAAAGCAAATCCGTAGCGTTCCTTGATGAGGTCCTTGTGTTTGTCATATTGCTGGAACATCAGATTCAGATGGGCGACGTCTCTAAAAATCTCGGATTGAGTCGTAAAGGGATTGGAATTCGGGCGTCTTCCGCAAAAAAACTTTGTCACTCTTCTAATTTTTTTCGGTAATGCCCCGCGCACGTCACGGATGCGGTCACGGAAATTTGGCTTCACGCAACGCGTTCTCGACGCTTTCAGGAAACACAGAATCCACCGCTTAATGAAAATTCCCGCATGATTTCTATTGAGTGCAAGCTATAATACCGACACCGGAAATACTGAGACAATAATACCGACAGCCCAAAATTTCGGCCTGTCGGCGTTTGAGCGTCGGGATTTTGGCCTAACGGGATTTCGACTGTCGTGATTCTGGCCTGTCAGAATTTCTGCCATCGAGATTTTGGTTGTCGGTATTTTGGCCCGCCTGGATTTTGGCTTGTCGGTATTTTGGCCCGCCTGGATTTTGGCTTGTCGGGATTTTGGCCTTCCGACGTTTCAATTTTTTGAATTTTTTCTGGCTCACCTGAACGACCGTGCCGCATAGGCCCCGTAGATCCTGGCCCACCACCTCTCCCGCGCCTCCTCGGCCATAAACGGCGTCAAGTCGTTCCATCTACCCCTTAGCTCGGCCTCCATCTCCAGCAGCGACTCAAAGTCCAGCCTGAAATTTTAAAATTGTGAGATTCATCAAGTTTAACAAAAAATTTCAGCTTCGGACGCCAGGAAAAATCGGAAGGTTGCATCAAACATTTTGCGGGCAATTTGGGGGGCACAAAAAGTTTGTTCAGCGGATGATTTAGGGTGCCAGCTTCACGAAACCTTCGAGTAAACATTTGGGCCAAAAAAAACAGAGAGAGAGAGAGAGAGAGAGAGAGAGAGAGAGAGAGAAATCGATCAACACCCCCCGGGGCCCGTTCCGACCCCAATAAATTAGAGGCGCCGGCTGGGAGGAACGTCAATTTTGGGCTCCGAATTCTAACTTTTGCCGGCTACAAACTACACGCATTTTCTAAATTTTCTTGGGGCCTTAAAAAACGGTTTTGATTTTCAAAAACTCCTTGAAGTCGCAGCAAGCCAGCTTGAAAAGTACTATTTAAAGCTGCTGAAAAAAATTCTAGAAAAAAAAACGATAAATCCGCTTCATTCATTAAATTCAGGTTTAATCATTGATATTTTTAAAATAGTTTTAATTCATTTATATATAACTTTTATAATCATTTGTATATAATGCAACATAGCTATAAACCTAATAAAAATAGAAAAAAGACTTTATAACCGCGTAAACGGCTTGAAAAGCGCTGAAAACCCTCATAAAAAGTCTGAATTCCCGAATAGCTACAGACTACAACAAGCATGTAAAGATACGTAAAAAGAAAGCATTTAAGAACGCTATATAAGCCATAAACAAGCTACGAGAATTTGACTAGGACTTAAACTGAGGAATTTGAAGAAAAATGGGCCCAGAACGGCGCTTCCGACCCGAAATCTAGCCAAAATCCTGTGGTTCTCCTGCGCACTACAGACTACAAAACAACACCTAAAAAAGCTTAAACTTCTCACAGACACTCAAAATTGGCCAAATTTTGGCACATCGATGTGAAGCCTTTGCCGGGGAGGGAGGATGAAATAAATTGGCGGGCCGGGAGGGGGCCGGAATGAAGTGTTGGGGGGCAATTGGAGAGGCAGAGGGAACGGGGTGTAGCCGGAGGGCATAGAGAGAGAGAGAGAGAGAGAGAGAGAGAGAGAGAACCAAAGACACAGCCCATTTAAGACCCCCCATGCTCGAGGGCATCGCATAGAAAACAGTGCCTGGCAGGCAGCAAGGCTTCGCTTTGCCCCAAAAAGAAAGCGAAAATTAAAGTTTTTTGCGTTTCACTAACTTATAAATGCGTTATTATGATAATCTATCAGAAAATTGATTACTATTTACTAATCTGTTGTAATTATATACCATCGTGTTGCGAAAAACCCATGGTAACGACTTCCAGACTTTCCTTAGTTCGAAAAAAGCAACGGGTTGAAGAATTTTTTGTAGTTTAAGAAAATACAGTTATTCATTACATTATTTTATGTTTCACAGGTCCGTGCATCCAACCAAATTCCGTGTGGATTCCACCTGGAATTCGGGTGGAACGCATGGAAATCGGGTGGAAATCGGGTGGACGCGGTGGAAATCGTCTGGAAACACGACGCAACACGGGCCCCACGCGACGCGGCAAATGGAAACCGAGTGGAAACCGAGCGGATCCACTTGGTTTCAACTCTATTTCCAGGCGTTCCACCCGGAATCCACTCGATTTCTATGTGGAATCCACTCGCGTCCGCTAGTGGAATTCCCCTCGATCCCCTCCGGGATTCCGAGTGGATTGCGGGTGGATGCACAGACCTTGTGTATTTTGTGGCTTAAGCCCGACAAATTTGTTTTATTCGAGCGACAATCAGCCATACAGTTAAAGGGCCCGGCGGCTTTGATTTTTTACGAGAAATTCGCTATTAATTTTCTGCCGCGCCGCGGCACGCAACGCTGCCCGCAATTTTAGGAAATTTAGGGCTTTGCCTTGGCCGTACCTTTAGAGGACTAACTCTGCGTTGCTTGATTTTTAAACGACAAATACGATCCCGCAAAATTCAACAAAGTAAATTTTATTGCCGAAAATTTAATTATGGAAATACAGGTTTTAGCATTCAACGGGAAAGGCTGGAGGCCGCTGCTCAATCACACGTCGAAGATGGCCACCAAGAAATTGGCTTGCTTCTTTTTCAGTTGCTTCTCGTCGGTGACGTGTTTTCCGTATTTCGCAAAGAAGTTCCGCTTCGCTGACAGGAAAGCGGCCAGAAATTCTGAAAGCAAAAAAATCAACAGTACTGTAACTGAATATTCGACGGACGTGAATTTTAGCCAAAATCCCGACAGCTAAAGTCCCGACAACCATAATCCCGGGAGCCAAAATCCCGACGTCCAAAATGTGATATTTCCGGTCGTTTTACCCATAAATGGTTTTCCAATCTGAGGTTTCTGGCTGTCGGGATTATGGCCATCGGGATTTTGGCCTGTCGGCATTATGGCTATCGTGAATTTCGAATGTCGGGATTTTGGCGTTTCCCCCGACTGGCGTACCTTTTCCGTAGACACTGATCCGGTACAGCCGGCGATCCATCGTCTCCTTCTTGACCTAAAAACGACGGTTCACGTGATCAAAAAAAGGGTTAGGAAATCTAGGCCTCGTTATTTCCTGGCGATTCGCTATCATAATGTCGAAATTTCATATTTTCGAAATTGGTGAAGTACGTTCAAAATGTCAAAAATTCATAGTGTTGAAATTCCTTATGTCGAAATTTATAAGGTCGAAATTCTGAATTTTCAAATTTAGAATCTCCCCATTTTTCCATGCGATTTGGGAGTTGTACGGGAAATTAGTCTATTTAAATTATTATTCTAAATTTCGCCATTCTGAATTTCGACATTATGAAATTTAACCCTTTGAAGGGAACCCCGAATTTGCCAATTCCGAGGTTTTTTCCTGGAATCCCTGAACCTTTTCTGTCGTCGTAATGGCTTTAAGGCGCTTCCGGCCGCTACGCGGCATGCGCGCTGGATATTTCGAGTGCGGCAAAACCCATAATTCCCGAAACCGGTGTAAATTTATAGAAATGTAAATCTATCGAAAGTAAAGAAAATTTGCCCGCACAACGGGAAAATCTCTAGTCACTTGGTGCCTAAGATCCCACCCCTAGTCTCTGGCTCAGCCATTGTTTCAGCGCTTTCGCGTCGGCCGCCTGCTCATCCAACAGCTCCATACGACCCCCGTGGACACGGTCGACTCGTTGCGCAAAGTCGTGCTGCAAAACAAAGCTTTGGGAGGCAGACCTCGATTTTTATTACAATACGATTCAATACGATGCGATACCTACCGTAAATACCGCTAGATCGAAATTTTCGTGGCGACACCTTCCGGAGATTCGTAGCATCCGCCCCGGCAGATGCGCCCGCATCGGGCAGAAGGCCACCTAAACTCCTAGTTTTTATACTAACAAACTTTTATATCACATTTTTTGTGCTGAAACAAATAACTTAGTTTTTTTTACTTTGTTTTGATTGGCGTTTAACAATATCCACATTTCAAAACTCCCCCCCCCCCCCCCTCGCCGCCTGCTGCTCATGGATTTTGGCCAATTTTTCTTTATTCAATAAAAAAATTTCTTTAGATTTTTCCGCGTTTAAATTGGTTCTCAGATTATGTTTTGCGACGCTCTACCGATGGGCGGTTTCTAAATACCGAAGATTCGGATATAAGCTAAGCTAAGCTAAGCTTCCCCCCGGTTATCCTATGTGCTGCCCATAGATTTCGATCAAATCGCAAAATCCCACAGTAATTTAAAACATTAGAAAAAAAATTAGTGCCTGCCCCCCCTCCCCCCGTTTTTTGACCTCCCGTTACCCTATGTGTACCTAACAAATACTAAACCTACTTATAAATTTAGTATCAATTATAATAATTTTGATGGGGTCTCCGTCTGTGTCAAACCGAATTCAACTCGAAGGGGAAAAGAGCTGGAGCTTAGGTCTCTTCGGATTCGGTTAGAGAAACCTTCAAACTAATCAGGAACAGAATCTAAAAACTTCAGTTTCATACTTGAAAATCGATTTTTGTAATTTGGTAGTAAAAATGGCTATTCGCACGATTTCGGGTATAGTGAGCCAGGTCGCGCCCGTTTCGGCGAGGGAGGGAGCGCAGGGGGTAACCCGAAGCCCAGCCGCTTGCGCTGGTATTTTACGGCTCTGTGTACCTATTGGGAGCCGAGATACAATAAGTGGAAAACAACAGATATATTCTTTTGATTTGTCTCTAATTCACTCATTTAAATTGATACTAACACCCACGTCGGCCATATTTGCGACGGCATTCACGCTAAAATCGCAAATCCCGGCAAACGCGAGTTCTGGCAGTCGCGCCGACGTGTTCAATGTTGACCAATTGGCCCAAGCTTGGCCGCACACATTGCAATCCCATGGCGCCGCGTTGCCGTAGCGCTAGAAAAATCCGTTGAATTACAGAAGCGCATCGTCACCAAGTTTCGACGGTTCTGGACTGTTAACGGGGGGATAAAAATTTTCTCTCTGATTCACGGCCCTATTACGAAATATAAACCGTTTTTATATCATTTTACATGGCTTTTAGATACAAAAACAATAGAAAAAGTAATAAAATTTTGGTCAAAATTGTATGAAAAATTACCAAAAATGTTAAAATTTCGAATTTTCAAAATTAAAAAAGTATTTTTCGTAACTTTTTAGCAATCAAAAACCATTAAAAATTTTATAAAAACAAAAAGTGGTCTTCCCCTTGCTAAAATCCCCCCCCCCGCTAACAGTCCAGAACCGATTACAGAAGGGCATCGTTTGTTATACGGCGCTACCTACGATCGCTCGTTCTCATTAGCAAAAACTGCCACGCGACACCGAAGTGATGGAAAAGGCCCATTCCGGCACGGTCTGGCACCTACAAAAAAGGGTAGGGGTCGGAATCTCGAAATTTCGGAATCTCGAAATTTCGGAATCTCGAAATTTCGGAATCTCGAAATTTCGGAATCTCGAAATTTCCGAATCTCGAAATTTCTGAATCTCGAAATTTCGGAATCTCGAAATTCCGGAAATATTGGCAGATTCCTGGAAGCAAAACTATTATGTATCCAATTTTTTGAGATTCAAATACAAGATTTCCGATAAAACGAAAAGTAGACCCTCTGAAAAAAAGGTGTTTATCAACTCGTCGTTTCAAGGGCTTTCGGATGGTACAACTATCATCCCGATCCGACGTTGCTCCGCCGAGTTAGAGCGGATGTTTTCTTGTATAGGAACCATCCCTATTTGAATCTCGATAGATTCGAATCTTTGCTTCCAGGAATCTGCCAATATTTCCGGAATTTCGAGATTCCGAAATTTCGAGATTCCGAAATTTCGAGATTCCGAAATTTCGAGATTCCGACTATCACCCACAAAAAACACTCACCTGCATGCAACGACGGCAACGAATCCGGTCATCAGGCTAAAATACGGTGTGTAATATTCTGATCATCGCAATGTTACGCCACACTCGCTCGAAAAATCTACCTTGTGGCGTATCCGAACGCGGCTGTTGATCTAAAGTAGAGATGTTATTATTCAAATCAAATCCTACTCAAATCCGATTTGATTTGAATAAGAAGATTTGAGATTTGATTCCGCCGAAATCAAATCTGGATTTGATTTGAGACTGGCTGGACTTTCAAATCAAATCCAGATTTGATTTGAGAAACTTTCAAATCTGGAGTCATTTTTACGGATGTAAATCACAAGTCGAGCACCAAAAAATGAAGGGAAAGAGGGAAATTTTTGATGTTTTGCATATGATCACCATCGAATAAACCGGATATTGCCGATAAGCATCCTTTTTCTCGCATTTGCTTTGGAAATTTGGGTTGCTCAAATTAATCAAATCAAATCGGTCCAGGATTTGATTTGAATTGGACTTCCGGTTCAAATCAAATCCGATTTGATTTGATTCTGCCGCCAAATCAAATCAAATCTGGATTTGATTTGGGAAACTTTCAAATCCTCAGATTTGATTTGAATAATAACATCTCTAATCTAAAGCAAGCCATGTACTGCGGATCAGATCGTACTGGACAAAACCAAAAAGTTCCTAAACATATAGACGCACCCAGCGAAACTCGACTTTATCCGTGCCATGCCGAAAACCGCCTTGGAGCTTTTGAAGGATGTGAAAGTTCGAAATGTTCTTCTCCAGGTGGAGGAAGAGAGCCTCGGCGGCGGCTGGCCAACGAAGGAATGGGAGCACCTGGAACTTGTCGGTTTTTCTCACTCTCCCTCTCTCTCTCTCTCTCTCTCTCTCTCTCTCTCTCTTTCTCTCTCTCCATCTCTCGTAATATGTCTCTCTTTCATTATGTTTCCCTCATATTGGCTCCATCACTCTTGGTCTCTCTCAACGGATATCTCTCGCTCTCCCACTCTCTCTCCCTAAGTATCTCGGGCGTTCTCTCCCACTCTCACTATATCTCTCTTGATTCTCTCTCGTTCTGGCGCTATCTTGCTCTATCTTTATCATCCTCATTTCATTCTCTCTCTGTCTCTCTCGCGCTCACTTTTTCTCTCTCGCCTCTCCCTCTCTCTCTCTCTCTCCATCTCTTTGTAACTCTCTCTCTCAGTCGCTTTCCCTCGCACGCACTGTCTTTGTCATTCTTCTTCCGAAAATACCCACATCACAAGGACCCGATCTTTTCATCCACCGGTCTACTTCTTGCGGCGCGTTCGGGCACATCTGAAATCAGGGTTATCAGCAGTTTCCTCAGAACCAAAAATGCTGGAGAAATTCGAATGGATAGCACCAACCTCCGTGGTCCTGTAATCAAACGACAACGCTACGAAATCACCAATCAAAGCGGTCGACGCCGGCAGCAATTTGAGAAGGTTGCCGTACGACAGTGGAAACTCGCTGGGAAATGGCATATTTCGATGTTCATAATTCTGCTGCAAACTACCGGTTCCCCACAGTATTGTGACTCATCTTCATCGGCATGCCGAAGCTGCTCATTTGCAGCGTCCATCCGTCCAAATCATTCACGCCGCACGCCACCCCACGCGCCCACAGCTGTAATGGGGCAAGGTCCAAACTGCCTCTCTCTCCCTCTATCTCTCTCTCTCTCTCTCTCTCTCTCTCTATCTCTCTGTCTCTCTCGTTTTAGTTTTTCCAACCCTGCCTGATTTTTCAAAAATCGACCTTTTCCCCCTCGACGTCGCCATCAGCCTCTGGCTCGATGAAGCCAGGCTTCGGCGTACATACATTCATGCGCATCCGCTTCCATTTTCGAGGCCAGAGCCCGCGCTTATTGATCGTGCTCCTGAAATTTTTATGGCCTGAGGGGAACGTTAAAAAATTCCTGCTGAAAACGTATTCACGTAATGCTACGTTCTTACGTTCTTTGACCTTACGCTGTACGACTTACGTCACCACGTTCTTTGATCTTTAGGCCGGGTCGATCGATAGATAATCAATACTACCTGATCGTCTTGCTAACGCGTTGTAGGCTAAGCAATTCGCAGAAACCGAGCTGATTGATGACGGCCGAGAGGAGGGCGTCTGGGAGATGACCAACCGGGAACATCACTCCGCTCTGTATGGACAAAGTCTAGCCTTTGATATAATGGAACAAAGGAACGGAATTCCGAGAAGGAATTAAGGTACCGCGCAGTTTGAAACAGGGGGGGACAGGATGGTGGAGGGTTGTATTCTAGAAAGACAGATGTGCAGCCAATGACCTCGCATCATCAATGGATGCACATTAAAGGGCACGTTCAGGGACGTTTTATTGGAAAAAACCAAACATTTTTGCCGCGGCCGGGGGTCGGACCCGGGCCCCCCGCTCGGGTGGCGCGGATAAATGCCAATCAGCCACAGCTACAACCTGGCGAGGGGGTGAGGGGCGCCCCACGCCGCAAAGGAGGGGAATGGCCTGTCACAGCACGGGCAGGCAGTGCGCGCGGTCCCTACGTCCATAGGGTGTACACGTTGGGACGAGTACACGGCCCCTCCCTGAACGTGCGCTTTAAGGAGGAGGAAAAACTCGACTTCGAAAAGAGCCTCGTTTGTGCTGAGCAGGCCCGTAGCTGACCCGAAATTTTGGAGAGGGGGGGGGGGGGGGCAGATAAGTATCGGGAGGAGCCTCAGAAACCTCTGTCTCCCCCTCCTACGGACCTCATGCTGAGGATGTTAGGCTTAGTCAAGCCGCCTCCTAACCAGATGGTTTTACAACATGCTAGCCAGGTTTTTGGAAATACGGCTAACAATAAGGCTGAAAATGCGGCTTAGAAAATTGTGTGTGAGAGAGAGAGAGAGATGCGCTCATGAATGTATCAATAGTCAAAAATCAATTCACTTGTGCATAAGAGATTCAATTCATAAAGTGCTAAAGGGTCTGGGTAGACAAAAAAAAGAGACTTTATTGCGACAAAGGTGAGCCAGCGTAGGTATTTCATGGATATTTTTAGCGTATCCCTGAATCACATGTCGAAGAGGACCGCCAAGAAGTTGGCAGTTTTCATTTTGGGGTGAAAAGTACGCCATTTCACTTCGTATTTTGGATGTTTTGCAAAGAAATTGGTCCGCGACGATAGGAAGGCGGCGAGGAATCCTGAAAAATCAATTGCGATTAAAAATGGCAAGACCAGGAAACTTGCTTTTCCCGCAGGATTTCATACGGTAGAAACGCCGGCTGATCCCTGCATCCTCCATCTGCTCTACGGCCAGCCGTTCCAGCAGCCAGGATTTTAACGTTTCTTTATCCGTTTCCGCCTCATCCAACAATTCCATGCGACCATCATGAACACGTTCGAGGCGACGCTCGAATTCGCGCTGAAAAATGCTTGCTTGTTCCTTCAAAAATTCGGTCCCCCCCCGCTAGATTCCCCGCTAACAATCCAGTACCTTCTTCGGTACTTTCTACAAAACCAGCCGCTAAAAAACGGAGATTAGTTAGGAGCCGTGACTCAATTGTTGGCATTCCGTAGCCCCTTTAAGGCGCCACGTTCAAAGTTGTGCATCTTTTATTTTTTTTCATGATATTTTCTTCATTTTGTGGGTTTCTGACCGCGCTCCATCCGAATCCGAAGAGACCTAAGCTCTAGCTCCTTTCCCCTTCGAGTTATAGTTGGCTTTGGACCGACGGACAGACAGACACCACTAATGAATTGTTATAGTTGATCACATTATCGTACGTGAATTCCTTACCAAGAATAGAGTCAAATCGAAGTCATCCGCGCGATTTTTTCCAGAAACCCGCAGCATCTGTCCCTTCAATGATGTCCGCATCGGGCAAAAGGCCACCTGCAATATTTGTATCTGGTTTTGTAAACTTGTACATAGAAAAATAGCGACAACCTACATCGATTAGATTGGCGACGGCAGAGACACTAAAGTCGTCAATATGCGGGAATCCGATTTCTGGCAGTTGTCCCGGTGAAATCTTCGCGTGACACCAATTCGCCCACGTCTCTTCGCACACAACACAATTCCACGGCGCCGCCTTTCCGTAGCGCTAGAGAAATTTTACATGGTATCAGCGTTGACTCCCCGCTACGCGGGGATTCAGCGCTGGCCCTCCCCCCCACAATTTGAGTTTGGAATTTGGATGCAGAATTTGGCTGAATTCCCCGTGGCGGACGGACCCCAGAATTCTCTTGTCAAAATTACATTGTTACGTGAGACGCGCGTGGCAGGTGCGCGTTGCTTGTAGCGGACGCGGTCAAACCCAGATAAGATTCATGGTATGAAAAATCCACAGTCATGCCTTGCCAATACCTTTAATCTACTACTTACATTCACGCATTGCTGGCAACGAAGGTGATCTTCACGAGGGCCCTGAACCAGATTTTTGTTTTTGCAAAGACTACAGGGTGTCCCAAAAATACCCGGACACTTTTTAAAGTGATTTTTCTCTAGATTTTTCTAATTACTTGGCCCCTAGAGAAATTTTTCCCAACTTTTTGAATTGTTTTGAAAACAATGCGGCTGAAAAAACTTGGAGAAGAAGCCCTAGGCTTTGGAGGAACGATAAGAAAGTTACCGAAGCTTCCGACCACTTGCAAACCGTCTCGCTCGACAATCACTCACGGGGCTCAAACGGCGGAATCAAACCTGCCACTGTTTTTATTCGACCTATCCGGGAGTAAAATGTCCTTAGTATGTTTCGTTAGTTACTAGATAACCAGATTCGGTCGCTCAAGCAAGAACCAAACCCAAATCCAAAAAAAAGTGGAACGGAAAAAGCACGTTTTGTTTACCGAAGCTCTTCGGAAAATTTGTTGGCCCAAATGGTGCGCTTTTCCAGTCGAGAACCAGGACCAATGTGTTAATTGCCGATACGAATAATATCATATGAGCAACCCCGGTTTTCCGTAAGAACTAATCCCTTAAAAACGTTTTGCCCGGGTATTTTTGGGACACCCTGTAGGAAGCGCCTGAAAGACAAATTCGGCATTATTTTTGCATCTTGTGGAAGCCCTAGTCGCCCTTTATAAAAACACTTACGTAGACCATTGGTCGATGACCATCGATTTCTACATACTAAATCATTTCCTTATATTCAAAGCATCAAATATTATACGCACCGGGCGAAGCTCCAGCTCGTCCGTTCCATATCGATAATTCGCTAGTATCCTCCGAAGTAGCTCGAAATTCGATATGTTCTTCCCCAATTGCAGATAAAGCGTTGCGATTGCCGAAAACCACCGCAAACACGGGCTGATCTATAAAACGTTTCAGTTTCGAGCCATTTTCGCAAGCAGGGCCTAGAAACCCACGTCGTGCGCCAAGATGATTTGTTCCAGGCGCGGGTCGCCCGGCAACGGCACAATATAGAAAACCTAGAATTTATATGAAGTTTTTACGACCCAGTCTTCTGTCTCCGGACCGCTAGAGGGGGGGTCGATTTTTTTTGGGACACCCTGTACTCGAAACAGTTCTCCAAAATGGAAAATCATCGTCGGCTGTCTGGAAATAACATCAAAAGATGCGCCAAATTTTACTACGCGAAATGGTGTGTGCTGAGGATGCCGCCGATTTTCTGCCCGAGGAATGGCTGTGGTGTTATGACATAAAAAGGCACCTGCTCGATACGGTGGTCGAATATCACTGACGCATGATTTCCAATCATCACGCGTGATCTTGACACCAATTTGAGGAAGTCGTTGTTGGTGCAGGGAAAGTATCTGAGTTTATTTACCAGTTTTGGTCGCATTAAAAATGTGAATTGACATCAAAAAATACCTTGCCGTTTCAGTAGGGTGCTGTAGCATGATGCATGATACAGGATGCAGGGGAGAAACAGGTGCCGATGGATTTTTGTGCACGAACTCCCATCCTTCCCTATCACGGGTCGTAAATGTCCAAGTGTGCACCCAGAGCTGTAAACCATTTTCGCAATTATCGTGCATCAAGAACCATCGGCTTTCCGGGATCTATTAAAAAACGGTCTTACCTTATCATCATCAGTGCTCACGAACCCGGGCTTTGGGGTCAGGCAATCGAGCAGCAGCCTATTAATTTTCCGCGGGAAAAGGCCTCGTTGATTGATGACGCTTCTGAACCTATCTTGAAGGAGAATTCAAAACCGTATCCTTTTAGCCGTAGCCATTTAAACAATCGAGAACTTGCATTTCCCTAGTTGGGCAAAGACCAAGCTGAAATGCCGCTAAGCGGTTAAACCCAGTTGCTGATTTTTTTAACCCTATCCGTTTTTTCATTATAGCAGTTTAGATTTGAAAGCCTTACCTGATCGGCCTGTTGACGCGTTGCAAGTTGATCAAGTCGCAGAAGCCCAGTTGATTGATGACGGCCGAGAGGAGGGCGTCTGGGAGATGGCCAACCGGGAACATCACTCCGTTCTGTATGGATAAAGCGTAGTCTTGATATAATGGAACAAAGAAATGGAATCCCGAAAAGGAATTAAGGAACCGCGCAGTTTGAAAAAGGGGACAGGATGGGGGAGGGTTGTATTCTAGAAAGACAGATGTGCAGCCAACGACCTCAGATCATCAATGGATTCACATTAATGAGAGGGCAAACTCGGATTCGAACATCATATAGCTTGTGCTGAGAATATGTACCCCAACACGCCAGTTTCACGATAAAATACCCTATGGTGCGTTAAAATACGGTATGTATTATAATAATAAAGGTATAATTTGTAATGTTTTACTAAGTAAGGCGCATTTCAAAGCAAAAACGGTTTATTTGTATGAAGACCGGTGCTCCCGCCTTTAGTGCGGTGGCTAGCTTTATCATCTGTCCGACGGCAAAATGGCAGCTCAGTAGATGGCACCCAGGTCAGGCACCCAGATCGAGGTCAAAATCGTGGCCTTGGTCGGTCCGTCCGTTAGGCTTAGTCAAACTGCCTTCAAACATGAAGCTTCTATAACATCCTAACCGGGTTTTCGAAATACGGCTAACAATAAGGCTGAAAATGCGGTCTAGAAAATTGTTCAAGACATTGATCTTTAAAAACAGAGAGAGAGAGAGAGAGAGAGAGAGAGAGAGAGCGAGAGAGCGAGAGAGAGTGAGACAGAGAGATAGAGAGTGATGCGCTCGTGAATGTATCAATAATCAAAAATCAGTTCCCTTTCGAAACCCTTTATAAACCGTAAAACATATTTATAGAGAGTTAAAGAGTCTGGGCAGACAAAAAAAATAGAGTTTATTTCGACCAAGGTGAATCAGCGTAGGTAATTAACGATTTCTTAGCGGCTCCTTGCATCACATGTCAAAGACCACCGCCAAGAAGTTCGAATTTTTCATTCTGACGTCAAAAGTCTCCCATCTCACTTGGAATTTTGGATGTTTTGCAAAGAAACTGGTCCGCGACGATAGGAAGGCGGCGAGGATCCCTGAAAAATCAATTGAAAAACCATTAAAGATGGCAAAACTAGGAAACTTGCTTTTCCCGTAGGCTTTCATACGGTAGAAACGCCGGCTGATCCCCGCATCCTCCATCTGCCCCACCGCCAGCCGCTGCAATAGCCAGGATTTTAATGTTTCCTCATCCGTTTCCGCCTCCTCCAACAATTCCATGCGACCATCATGGGCACGTTCGAGTCGATGCTCGAATTGCCGCTGAAAAATGCTTGCTTCTTTAGTGTTACAGTACGAGAATCCCTTACCAAAAATAGCGTCAAATCGAAGTCTTCCGCGCCATTTTTCCCAGAAACCCGCAGCATCTGTCCCTTCAATGGTGTCCGCATCGGGCAAAAGGCCACCTGCAATATTTGTATCTGGTTTTGTAAACTTGTACATAGAAAAATAGCGACAACTTACATCGATTAGATTGGCGACAGCAGAGACACTAAAGTCGTCAATCCACGGGAATCCGATTTCTGGCAGTTGTCCTGGTGAAGTCTTCGCTTGACACCAATTCGCCCACGTCTCTTCGCACACAACACAATTCCACGGCGCCGCCTTTCCGTAGCGCTAGAGAAATTTTATATGGTTTACAATTACATAAATGCCATATTCCGGCTCTAAGCACTCCAGAATTCTCTTGTTAAAATTACATCATCACGTGAGACGCGTGTGACACGTGCGCGATGCGTGTCGCGGGTGCGGTCAAACCCAGATAAGATCCAGGGTTTAAAAAATGCACAGTCATGCCTTGCCAATCCCTTTAATCTACTACTTACATTCACGCATTGCTGGCAACGGAGGCGATCCTCACGAGGGCCCTGAACAGGATTTTTGTTTTCAAAAGACTAGCAGCGCCCGAGAAACTTCAGCAAGCGACCGGGTCTCAATGCGATCAGCATAGCCACAATGTTTGTTTTAATTTGGCGAATATTTTGGTATAGTTTACAGCCATTTACGTTCAGTTAGTCCAAAGGGGAGCCGAGATACCACATTCGCCCGGCCAGGGGCGCGTGGGACAGCTGTGGGCAGGGCTGGTCATGCTTAACTGGGCTCGATAACGATTGTATTGTTTCAACCATTAGGCGTAATAAAAACAGCTTAGAAACAATTAAGCTATTGTAATCAGAAAAAATGAATCATCCGATCAATTCCCCTGTCGTAAAAATCAAAAACCAAAAGTGACGCCCGGGTGGGCGTGGAATCTCGCTCAATTATTGGTACGGACTGCGGCTAGAAAACGAAAAATTGTACTAAGCTGGTATAACAAACCCAAAGAGGCTATTTGCTCATGAAAAATATGCCAACAGGCACTCAGTTTTGCCCCAAGGCCCGATTTTTGACATACACCAAAAGGTCGGACCAAAAAGGTTTTTTGGAGTTTACGGCACGTCCCGCATTGCGTCCAGGCCTGCCTTGTTAAGGGCAACTTCCGCACTTTTTTCCATCTTACGGAAGCGCTTGTCGCCCTTTATAAAATCACTTACGTAGACCATTGGTCGAGGAAGTTCTTCATACTAAATCATTTCCTTATATTCAAAGCATCAAAGATTATACGCACCGGGCGAAGCTCAAGCTCCTCCATTCCATATCGGCAATTCGCTAGAGCCTCCGAAGTAGCTCGAAATTCGATATATTCTTCCCCAATTCAAGGTAAAGCGTTGCGATTGCCGAAACCCACCGCAAACACGGGCTGATCTAAAAAAAGTTTCAGTTTCGAGCAATTTTCGCTAGCGAGGGCCTAGAAACCCACGTCGTGTGTCCCGCTGATTTGAGGAAGGCGTGGGTCCCCCGGTAACGGCGCGTTTTCGAACACCTAAGGTACGATTTAAAAGGCCGGATTGCGGGCCTGCCCGAAGTATTAGGAAGTTTTTGCGACTCTGTCGTTTCGTCGGCATCTCGAGAGTATGGCCGCATTTGTAGGGCTGTGTGTTTTTGAGCATTTAGACAGTTTATTTTGGGGCTTTAGATGGGTGCTACAGTTGACGACCTCGCAAAACTATCTGGGCAACTACTCACCTAAATATGTCAAAAATTTGCGTGAATACCTAATTTGAGATAGGGACCATTTCTCTAATATTAGGGGGAATCGAAACTTCGTCCAACGCTTTTCATTCTTTTCTACTTTTAATTCAGAAAAGCGCCCAGAAGGAAAATGTTACAAAGATATACGTATGCCCGACCAATACGTTATTCGCCACGCGGGACCTAATCACCAGATTTTCCCTTTAGGATTCTTTCAGTTTCATTTACATTTCCGAACTACTTTTCCTCTAAAAAAGGCACCTGTTCGGGACGATGGTCGAACGTCACTAACGCATAATGTCCAACCATTACGCGTGATCTTGACACCAGTTTGAGGAAGCCGTCGTCGGCGCATGGAAAATATCTGGCAAGGGAAGGTTGCTCGAAGGAGGAGGGAGGAATCCCAGCTCGAAAATCGCAAAGCGAAATATCGAAAATATTCATTGTAGAACTACAAAAAATTTTCGTTTCTGTTGTACCGGCCCGGCCCAGCATTTTTCAATTTGTTGCCGGTAATCCCCTGCACGGTAATGCGAAAGAACCCAAAAAAAATTTAAGGAAATTTCGAGTCCAGGCTTACTTGATTTTCCCCAGTCAGAATCGGTCGCGTTAAAGATGTG